CACGTTGAAGTAAAGACAATTCTCAACTCGCGCCCTATCACTCCCATGCCGTCAGACCCCGCTGACAAATCAGCATTAACGACATTCCTTAATTGGCAAGCCATTGACGGTTCCTCCTGATGCCAAACCCACCCTGTGGGAAAATTCTCTATTAAATCGATGGGAACTGGTTTCAACACTGAAGCATGCTGAAGCAGTGGGCATGTGAGTACCTACAAGATCTGCACAATGATCTAAAATGGAAGCATGCGTTTCAAAATAACAAGGAGGGCTTGCTAGTCCTCTTAAGGGAAGAAAATATGCTTGTGATGAGTTGGCCTATGGGACGAGTCATAAAAACGTAACTGGGACCCTATGTTTCGTCCGGGTTGTCGACATAAAAAATTCATCTGGAATTTTCAAGAGACCAGTGACGCAGTTAGCATCCTCATTTCCAGATGAAATCAACAACAAGCGCTAATTGGACGTCACCCGTAAGCCTGAACAGTAGGAGGAGCCCCCTGAACAATGCAAAAGGGGAAGGCTGTCACCATTACACATAATCTTAGAACTTATATTGCTGTTTACACTAGCCATGGCACAGCCTTTAAAAGTGACTGAGTTCAGCAACAAACCTGGAATATTCTACGAAAGTATTAAAAGACGAGAATGGTAGTTTTAGAGTGGATAATGATAGTATTCTACGACGTGGATCAATATTGGAAGGACATGATCTCTCGGATGGCTTGACTGAACTGCATCGTGCGGATCCACGTTAGACCATTATAGCTATCTGTACGCTTGATTCAGGAATCCAAATGCATCACTTCCGAAAACGACGATAACTGTTAATAATAATTGGAACTGTGCCCAATAAATTGTTTGGCGTACTTAATTCCACGTACGTAGAAGATATGGTTAAAACTATTGCAAAGGTAACAAGGAATTCCTCCTCCAGCTGCCAAAACCAATTCTCAATTGTTGACTCTACCATTAACGTGGTGAAAAAAGGAAGCATAGCTACGACCAATCGCCTAAGATCGTTGAAACAACAGATGACCATTATGATGCATCAACGAGGAAAGTATCAGGGTGCCCAGCTGGAGCAATCATTTGTGATCCCCACATCTCAAATGAGTCTACTTGCAAATGGATTACTGCGAATGAGATGAGATGAGATGGATGAGATAACCAACGCGATAACTGATGTTCGCCATAAAAGCATCAGTCCAATTTGGTATCACCTATGCAACAACGACCAAATCCGGGATCATTTTCCCCCCGGTAAGATCTTGCCAGTTGCCACTACTGACGTTCTTCATTCTGTATCAACTAATGTCAGCACAAGGAAGCAAAAAAGACACTCACGTTATCTTTCAAACCATGACTTCACCGCGGGCAACCCCAAAGGCTATCACCCCACGCTTGAGGTTTTAATTGAAACCATTTCTGGTATCGAGTATCATAGAAATTTTAAGATATCTACTTGCTCGGTCAAATTTTACCCCGCTTAACGCTGAATGTTAAAGAAATTATATTCGCCGCTGCCCGAGACAATTTACTTAGGATCCTAAGCAGTTATAAACACGTATCTTTTCCACCCCTGCTCACGTTTGAAAATTTATCTGCGACCTCTAATTAGGCCATTACCGATCTATTCGCAGAATTTTTTTAAACAAATTACTCTCCGCCTAAATTGACAGATCAGCTTTACGCATACAACATTCAATCAGCTAGTCTTATTTTCTATCCATTTTTCTCCGAGAATAGCTTATTATCTGATTTTCTAAAGGTCGAACCCATTTATTCGCCAGGCCCCGATAGAATACCAGGCTGTGTGGTAAAATTCAACTTATAGACTTTTCAACTTATCTTTAGAAACCTCATAACTCCCCCACATAAAAAAGAGGAAAAGTCCGATGCTGCCAACTACAGAGGCATCTCTAAATTGTCGGCAATTCCAAAGGTTTTTCAAAAATTAATTACTCCTCATTTGCAAAACCTTTGCTCCTCGATCATCTCCCCATGTCAACATGGCTTCATTAAGCGTCGCTTTCATAACTAAAATCTTATTAATTTCTTTGGTCCGTCCGATACTGGAGTACGGTTCATGTGTCTGGAGTCCCCAAAATGGAGAACATCAGGACCGCATAGAATCCGTACAAAAGAACTTCTTAACTTTTTCACTTAGACGTCTTAACTGGGATGCAAATCTTCACCTTCCATCTTATAATAGTGGACTCTTACTAATAAACTTACCTAGCTCAACAAATCGTAGGACAATTCTCGGTGTAGCTTTTCTGCATAACCTAATTCATGGGGATGTAGATAGCCAGCATTTACTAACACGCTTACATTTTAACATTCCCCATTCCTAGGGACTAGAAACTTTAATCCTCTATTCCTCAGCTGTTGTAGTTCGACATATGCACAACACGACCTTTTTAGGGTCTTATGTTCGAACTCCAAAGGTCTCTACTCTATAACATCTCTCTCCTGTCCTTCAAATTTAAAGTATAGAATTTTAAGTTCCCTTACTAACTCCTCCTAGCTTAATACATTAATACATTAATATTAACTAATTATTCGTTTCTCGAGTGCCCCTCGGTTTGCCCCCCCCTTAGAGACCCAGACCTCTAAGCTTTACGATGAATACAGGAATGCTAGCTGATACTCTACGGTGCTGAAATTGATATACCCTTGTAGTTAAAACTGGATATATAGCGCTAAAATCGGATATATTTGGACGTTCCTTATGAGAATTTCATAATAATTTATTAATTACAATTAATTACAATAAAATATATAAAAAAAAGTCCCAAGCTTCCATCTTCCAAAATACCAAAGTTTGTTTATCTACCAAATACCATTTCCTATCGTTCAGTTATATGGCAGCTATAGCATAAAGTCGGCCGATTCTTATGAAATTAAGTTAGTTAAGGATGTAGTCTCATGTTCCGGCCTACTTTTTAGAGGTTATTTCAAGAAATTTTTTTTGTAATAAAAAATAATGCGATCGTTTCAATTTTCACATATGTTTTTATAGGCATTATAAACTATTTGAAAATATTTTGTTTAATTTATTCTTGTGTAGTTTAATACATTTTATAGCATGCCAAAGTATGCATTTAAAAAAAAAAGGTAGGTCCCTGGCGCAGGTGATTTCGACTGCTAGAGTCATCCGAAACAAAAAATTAGAAGAGAATATTGTTTTGTAAGCTTATGGCTCTGTCCCGTACTAGAATGAAATATTTTCATCAATAAACAAAAAAATGGCGAACACTCAAAAAAAAAAATTTGTTTTAATTTAAAAAATTTGTCTTAAATTAATGATAAAAAAAAAACTAATCATTAAAAATAAATGATTCTAGTACGGGACAGAGGTGTTACTTTTTAGAACAACATATCCAAATTTCAGCTAGATCGGTACCATAGAATTTTGTGAATCACCTGCGCCGCACACAAAAATGTCGTTCCGAGAAAAACGCGTTTAAAGTTTAGACGCTACCGAGAAACTCATACTTTTCGGTGTAGGCGCGCTCTCGATTATGGGCTGTATCTCTGTCATTATTTGATATTTTTATTTGAAACTTTAACAGTACATTCTTAATAAACAATACTATCGAAATATGTGAAAAAAAAATCGATTTTTTCAACCTTACACATGAGACTACATCCTTAAATCAACTGACTTAAAATAGAATCTATTCTAAGTTCCAGCTTTCTATCTTCAAAAACACGAAAGTTGGGTCATTTCAGATCGTTCAGTTATTTTGCAGCTATAGGATATAGTCGGCCGATCCTTATGAAATTTGGCACATCGTATTATTAACTGGAAGCGTGTATCAACTTCGGCTCCGCGCGAAGTTAGCTTTCCTTTCCTATTTTCTCAATTATTTTTTATTTACTTTCTTTTGCGTTAAAAATTACCTCTTTAGTGTTTTTACTAATAATTTAATAAAAATAAAATGACTTGTCTTTTAAAATGCTTTGTTTAAATTTATTTAAACATTTCTTAAGGGGTTATATACCTTTTTTATTTTAAAAAAATCTAACATTTTTTTATTGCTTTATCTTAAAGAACAATTCCTTGAGAACATTTTCCCAAATTTTCATAGAGATTGGAGCAGTAGAAAAAAAGTTACATCGCTCCTAACCGCGCGCCTCATTGCGGCCTTGAACTGAACTTGAAACTTTAAACGCGAATATCTCGAAATGGTGTTTCTTGAAAAATGACTTTGCGGTGACAATGATTGACGGAAAACTACTGAACCGATTTACTTCAAATTTTTTTTTAAATGTTCGTAATGAAATTCTCTTGTGCTTGAACGATCGACTTTTCACGCGCAAACTTTTTTTTCGGCGAAATAAATTTTTTAGTAAAATTTCTAGAGACCAAAACGTTCATTTTTAGCATAAAACGCTGCCATATCCAAACAAAAACAAAAAATTTAAAAATCGATCGTTCAAGCACAAGATATTACTCTAAACTAATGAAATTTTTTTACTTTTATGATTTAAGTTGACCTGTTTGACCTGGGGAACTGTCACCGCAAGGCTCTAAAAAAAAAAGGCCTCTAAGAAAAACAGCCACCCCTTAAAAACTAATCAATATTTTTTCACCAAATTTTGTAAAAACATTCTTAATAAAGTGTACTATCAAAATATTAAAACATCCGTGTAATTAAATAATTGCTACATACCTAAAAAAAATTCAAACTTTCCTCTTTTTCTTCGAAAAAGAAGGTATATAACCCCTTAAATTAAATTAATTATTTTGTAAAGACTTATGAACAACAATTATGTGCCAAGGGAAGTGTAGTATTAAAACAATACACTTAATTTTAGGCCATGTATTCCAATCAGCTTTATCAACATATATATGATTGACATATGAACGCATGTATATATTCGTTAAAGGCTAAATGACTTCTTTTTGCCGCTCCAACTTAACGATAAGACTTAAAATTTCGTTTCAATTTAATTTCATTTAACGCATGTTAAAATTTTTGTATTTTCAGTCTCATATTTTCAGCATTTGTAGCTGTACTTAACGTGGTTGAATACTTTTTACAAAAAATGTCCGAGTGTGAGGCCGATTTACTTCATCTAGGCCGTAAGTAAATGTTTCTGAATTGATTACAACTTATATTCATTTAGAATACACAAAAATAATTATATATTCATTGAATTCAGTGCAATATAAACGGGTAAATAAATGTTTTTTCTAGCATTAAACAAAAACAGATTTTTGACTGCGGTATGTTTGTATTATATTGGCTTAGGCTATAGGAAGCTATTATACAAAGAATTGAGCATGTCAACACCCCCTATTTTTAGATAGATATATGTTTCAATTTTACTTTCCAACTTTCATCCGACTTCCCTTACATCAGGAAAGATTTTAGCCGTTTGGTGGACCGGTGCCCAGCGCGCGGGTCAGCGTGTTCAAAATGCACAAACGCAATTCTCTCGAAACCATGTTTTTCGAGTTGGTAAAAGTTCTACTGGTCTCAAAAATCGAGCATAAAATTTTATACACATGTCCCTCAAAAAATGTGCATCCTGGTACCTGAGTTGGCTATGGATATTGGAAATCGTTTATTTAATAGAATTATAAGTGACGAAAAACAGAATAAACTTGATTGTTTTTCAAAGTCTCATAAATTCTTCACTTTTTCCTTCATTCTGATAGGACATTAAGATATTACAGGACGTTAATTAAGATTATCCTGCTCGTCTTTTGCCTTTCAGCTTCTACGACTTCCACAATGATGACGAGTTGCCGACGAAATATGGCTACTATTGGGTTCCCCTTCTCCCCCCTTCACTTTGATCGCCCCCAAAAAGCTTTATGAAACTGTACTTTAAACTGAAACTGTACAACTGGCTGAAATTTTATTCTCATACCTTTTATAATTTCCATGAAAAAAATTCACCCAACAAGCTAGAAACCCCCTTATAGCTAGATCATATCAACCAAAATTAGTATTATGGCCAATTTTTAACTTAGTGACTTTTGTACACACAATATTTATTTGATATATTTGAAAATTTGATCAGTATTGAACAAAAAACACGTACGTTTTTTTTCGCTACTCCTTCTGGCTATTTTACCTATCAAACAAGTTGACGTAAAAAAAAGCAAAGTTACTTTAGAAATGCAAATTTCTCAAGTAGTGCAGAACGAGACTGGTATAAATTTAGAATTAAATAAGCTACAATCAGAATTCAGCCTCAAAGGCTTTTTAAGCCTTTTTTGAAGCCTTTTTTTGAAGGGATATAGCCTTTTAGGATATTTACAGAAACTCATCAGCATGTTGCTTGCCTTTTAAATTATTATAAACTTTTCTAGCTACAGCTCTTAAACAAATGAATAACTACGCTTTCCTACGAGAAAACATGTTCTAACCAAATTTCTGGGAACATTTTTCTCAGTGAAAGCATTTTTTTTTAAGTTTGGGCTGTCAAGTAAGGCATAATCAGAGCCAGTGAGTGATTCTTTCAGTGTACCGGCAGCGTTACGACACAATTTCGAAAATTATGCCTTACTTGACCGCCCAAAACTTAAAAAAAAATGCCTATAAACACGTACCGTGGAAAAAAAGAGTTTTTCCACCACTGGTATACACACATTCAATATGTAAAAAATGTATGAAATTAATGAGCATTAAAAACTTTCATTTTTTTTTGAATAAATTAATTTTTATAACTTTTTAATTTAACTTATTGCCGTTATTATGAAATATGTTAATAAGTAAAGGCACTTCAAAAACAAGAAATGAAAGCTAACTTCGGGCGGAGCCGAAGTTGATATACCCTTGCAGTTAAAACCGGATATATATCGCAAACATCGGATATATTTGGCCGATCCTTATGAGAATATCATTATAAAACCAATTAATTACAATAAAACAGTTGGGGGCAAAACTAACACATGTTTAAAATTTGAGTGTGTGCGTAGCAGAGAAAAACAATGAGAGCAGAGAATTCACTGAGCGAAAAAAACGTATTATTCTATTTTATTATTCGTTAATTCAAAAGTTGGAATGGGCACTAAGATTTAGTATTTTATTTTAAAACAAGGAAGGATAGCTTTGCACCCTTGCAGTTAAAACCTAAAAAAAAGTCCCAAGCTCCTATCTTCAAAAATACGAAAGTTGATATTCCTACCAAAAACCATTTCCGATCGTTCAGTTATATGGCAGCTATAGTATATAGTCGGCCGATTCTAATGAAATTTTGTAGGTTGGATTAACTGACCAAAAATAGAATATGTACTAAGTTTCAGCTTTCTATCTTCAAAAACACAAAAGTTGGGTCATTTCCGATCGTTCAAAAATTACAAAATTTTGCATGTCGTATTATTTTGACGTATTATTTTTTCAAGCTTTCATGTAAATTTTGAACTCTCTAACTCTAAAAACACCGAAGTTATACCATTTCCGATCAATCAGTTATATGGCAGCTATAGGATATAGTCAACCTATCCCGGTCGTTCCGACTTATATACTGCGTGCAAATTTTTTTTCAACAACCCTTATTTGGAGCGCTCCCTAGTGATCTTGGCCATGTCAGATAGTGATCCCATTCGTGGAACTGACACTTCACCGTGGCGGAGGACCGAGTCTCGCTCGGGTTGAGATGGTGTTTGGGGTAGGTACCCTCATGGAAAGTGGGAAGGTACATAATATAGTGTGCGAATAGAAAATCTGTGAGGCTAGTTTTTAGAGGCGACAGCAAAAGCGTAGAATATTTAATAATAATAGTCTCGGGCTGCTTGCTGGTGTCTGCGACTGTTTATTTACTGTTTGTTACAAGGAGAAGTCTTTTAGAAGGGGTTTAGTTTTACGGGGTTCTGGGGCACGGCCAGCAAGACTTATATTCAGAATATCCAGACATTTGAAAATAGAGCCCTCCGTATCGCCACTGGGGCCCTCGTCTACCACGACAACCAGACAATCCACGTGGTGCTCTGCTTCCCATGGGTCAAGGAGGAGATCAAGAGAAGCAGCAGCAAGTACATTCAGTGGCTACACCGCAGAGAAACCACCCCAACGAGTTGGCGACCACTCTCCTGGACAACAGCGAATTAAAGGGGTATCAGCCAATCGGCCAATAGTACGCTGCGCAGAACTCACCCGCTGGACCTCATCCGGAATAACTCTTAGACATTCTTATTTTTCCACCTCTAACTTAAGTTACACATAAGCAAAGTTTTCTTTCACAATATTTAATGGTTGTCCCTGTTAGACAGTTTAAAATAAAATCCGCCCCTGTCATAATCACAAAAAAAGAAAAATTTCTTTTTCCCTCCACTAGTTCAGCTTAAAACTAAAAGTTTTCCAACTTTGTTTCGGTTAAACAAAATCAAACAAGATATTCAAAACTCATATCTTCCACCCAACCTTAAAAAATTTTGTTGAATAATTTTATATACTTGAAAAACAGAAGCTGAAGCAATATAGTAGGAAAGAAGAATAAAGATTCTTCTTACGTTGAAAATGTAACCATTGAACGTTGAAAATGTAACCCCACTTAGGCATATTTTTGAGAGGCGTATGAATGATTACAAGGATAGAATTGTAAGCGTGCAAGAAAATTAGTTGCCTGTTTACATAAAACGCAATAAGGATGATCAGCCTTGGGGTGGGATATATAAAATAGTTTGAGGTAGATTGGTTGAAGGCTCTGAGCTGACTACTTGGAGGGATTGTATAAAATTTTTTTGTATGAGTTTTTTTCTAGTATTTTTTTTCTGTATGAGAAGGATCAGCAACAGGATCAGGATCAGCATCCATTGCCTTTTGAAGTGGGTGTGACTGAGCCCCTACTAGTGAGTAAGCTGGAGTGGGCATTTTTCAGGCTTCGCTTTAGACAGTCCCCGGTTTTTACTGGAGAAGTGTGCAAAAATGTATGAAAATCCATACAGGATTATTTATATGAATGATATGATAAGAATGTGAATGATGAGGTTTCCCCCAGTATATGGAATTGTGCAAGAGTGACTGTTCTTCTGAAGCTACCCGACAGGTTTCGAAGTAATCCTCTATCTCTTATAGAACGCGTGATCAGCTACGTGAGTGATCACAATCCCAATGAGATTAGTGGGACTCAAGCTGTGGTCACTGTGGTTCATGGGTGGCGCATTGGGAGTGTGAATTGGGCCCTTTATGGGCACTATGTAAGAGAAGCGGCGTCGCAAGGCTCGATTAGCACTTTAAATCTCTTGAGCGTGGATGAGCGAGTTGTTTGTGAGACTAGGTGGGTGACGAGTGTCTGTTGACGACGCTTAGAGATTTTTGCAGGAGCCCGTCTAGGGTCAGAGTTATTCGGAGATTGAACAAAAGTGAGTTGCGGGACGTAGTTTTTTGGAGGAGATATTTCTCGGGTCAAAGTCATGTGTTCGGTGCAAGTTGTGGCCAACTTCGCCACGTTTTGCGGAATGAGTAGGATCTTGGCAGAAGGGCTGTTTGTGATATCGTCTGTGTAGAAAATGGAATTGTTATATGATAGGAACCTGAAGAGCATAGGTCTATATAGGAGTATAACCTTGAGGGGAATGAAAGGTTTTGTTGAAAAAGTGTGTTCTGTTGGATTGGCAAGTTCGATGGGATACTAGTGTAAAAGGGCGGACTACATACGACATCATATCCAAGGCCTCGCTTGTTATCAATGCGTGACAGTTCAGAATGCTGGTGTGGCTCTCGAGAGGGGACTTTGATGCATGTTCGGTGTGAGTGTCTTCTTTTTAGGGATGGAATTTAGGGATGAATTTTATGGTGTTTTGATGATGGATGATAATTTATTCCCAGCAGCTATGCCCTTTTTAATCCGATGCCACCGTCTCGTAACTGTTATGAGCAGAGGCTGTAATTATTTATGGTCCTTGCTTTCCGTCATTAGGAGCTAAGTGGCTTACCCAAACGCGGGTGCAGCCCCTATGGTCAACGTATAGATGCTTTATACATCCGGGTGCTATGATACCACAGATCAGAAGCAAAATGGTTCCAAAGGATTGACGCATAGTTTCACATTTCAAGCCAAAGGGAGCCGTGAGATAAAGGTTTCATAACCTTGTATTCTACGAATATTGGGAACTTAAACTTAGAAATG